GTTTTACGGAGAAAAAAACACAGCTAAATCCTATCAGTGATGGGACCAACATGTGCTTTTTAGGATAATTCCCCACTCCCCACCCCCACACTGATCCGTGTATCAGGAAGCACTGGGGAGCAGGCAAGGTGAGGCAGGCCACCTCTTTCACAGAGAATCTGAAGTTGCCAAGTGTCCATCTGATGCATGACCTCCCTAAGTGCCCTGGTACCCTTTAGCCCGAACCCGCTGACAGATCACACCTCCCTGAGAAATGTGACGGTCTAGGTTCTGAGTGCCAAAGAGAGCTCAGTCACTGTGCACAGCGTTTCTCACAGGTGTTTTCTGGGCCCCCGTCTCTGTCTTTCAGGAAACAGGAGGAACCCAAAATGCACTCTGAGCCACTCTGGCATCCCTTCCATTTCCTTACTGTTCTACCAGGGCTTGGAAGCTCAGTCTTGTTTGTAAAAGAGAGACATAGGCTTTCAGTGTAAACCCTGTATCTAAATTCTGGTTCTGCAAACTCACCCATTCTATAATCTTCAACCAGCAACGACCTCTGGGGAGTCTGTTGTTATCTGGAAAATGGAATTCTGAAAAATGCCTGTTTTTGCAAATTCTCATGAGGTCCAAGTGAGAGGGCACAGATAAGGCCCGCAGTGGGGTGTGTAGCACACAGTGAGCATTCAACAATGCAGACTCTGCTACTGTCCTGCTATGCTTCCTGGCCTGCCTCAAGACCTCATGAAAGGAGAGTGGCTCAGAGTTCTTAAGCTGGCTGGGCGCTCTGACAAATGCCCTGGATCAGCAACACTGTGGAAGTGCCTACTTAAGCTTTTAGGGCAGCCATTGGCTTCCAGGCTCCCCTGATGTCCCAGAAACCAAGTCTTCAACCTCTCCCCTGCGGCAAGGGCCGGGCTTTCTGGTCCCTGAGTCACTGCTCAAAGATTTGCCAGCAAACTAGCCAAGACAGGGGTCTAGCCAAAGAGTTTTGCCATCACTGAAGGTTCTCTGTCCACTGTAACCCCTCAGTCATGATCCTGCAATATCAGGAACTTTTCAACCTCTGTTATAGCATTTCTTATGTTAAGTTTTGGATTAATTTCATTTCTTTCCAACTTGTCACCAGACACCTTGCACAGATCCTGACACGGGCTCAGAAGTGCCGGGCACACTGATGAAATGAACGGCACTGGATGTGCGGGAGCCAGAGAGGCTACCCACATGAAAGTCTGTACCCTAGCTCTGTACCAGCGCATCTATGGAGGTTGGCGATAACCTGCTCAAGTGTGTAACTTCGAAGGATCTCCCCCATTCATCAGCCTCTCCCCCCATATGGACATACATGATGCGTGCTGCCTGATTCTGGCCTCCTTATGCCCCCAAGACCTCCCACCCCCACCCCATGCATCAACTCACTGTGCTTCCTTGCCTTACTTCTGAGAAAGACTGTGTGCAACACACACACACACACATACACACACACTGTTTCTCCATCAGACTGGGAACTCCCTGAGGAGTTCTCCTCTGAATAGGTCTGACATTCCAAGCACTTACAGACCATATTTTGGCTGTAAAATACTAAGTTTTGGAAAGTTTAGCAGTCTCCATCTTGTCCCAGAGTTCCCTATGGGTGTTTCTCCATCAAACTGCAGCAGCACCTGTACCGGGGTTCAGCTCCACAGAACAACCCACCTCTTGCTGCTTAAGCTGGGGATCCGATAGCACCTAGGATCTCACCTCTGCCCCCATCCTTTCCCAGGCAGTCAATGTCAAGATCAGCTCTGCGCTGCCATTCCAGACGGCTGTGGGCAAGGAGGGCCGGTACCCAGGATTCGGGACCCTGCCGCTCAGCATCCTTGTCTGCACATGCTCATTCAGGCTCACCTGTGTGATCTGTCTGATGACCTGTCTCCCTCTTCCATTACACCAGGGCTCTGAAACACCTGGCTCTTGCTTTTCCTCTCTGACCTCAGTGGCAGCACACCACAGGGTCTAGTGAACATCTGTGACGAGCGTAAATATGCGCCCAGTCTTACTTAAGTTTCTCTCCTTCACCCCCATGTCCCCACTCCAGCCAAACACAGGAAGGACAGGACTATTCTGTCCCTTCCTTTATGACTTCCTAATTTTTTTTAAAGACAGAGAGAGATGCTTACACCCCCAGCTGGTGGGTGGTTTCGGAGATCTCTGGCCTCCAAATCAGCCAGGGAGAGATTTATGTTGCCAGAAGTGGGAGAGAGTAGTGACTGATGACCAGAGGCATCCTGTCCCGGAGTCACAGCAAAAACAGGACCCTCCTGTGGTCTGCCCCACCTGAAAGCCAAAACCTAACCTCCAGATCTCAGCCACCTCCTCGGCGTGCTGTTCAAAGGACCAGCCATTGTATGCCGAGCCTGTTTCAGGCCGAGGAAGCCACTCCTGCACGCTGTTCCACCTGCCAGCCAGTGAAGCACAATGGGCAGGCAGGTCCTGCCCCAGCTCTCTGGGGAGCTGGCTCTGCCGTTGGTGGGCCCGGATTTAACTCTCTGTAGCTTTTGTGATGCCAAATAAGGGTGCAAGGGCTAAGACTCGGTGCACAAAACTGGGAAATATGTAGGCTGTTATCAGAAACCCCCATTTGACCTGAGCCCCAATCAAGCACTTCAACGTCAGAGTCCTGATCCAATCAGCTCCCGACAGCAGCTGCAGGTGATGCTTCCCCGACACCAGGAAAAGCTGGCCGCCTGGAGGCCCTGATGCCAGGGGAAGCTTCCAGCCCTGCCCCCATTGGTGGTGGGGAGGGGACAGAGAAGGGTGACAAAGCCGGCGCAGTCGGTCTCCCAACATCATGTCCCCTGGCTGAACACGGTCTGAGGGCCACATAGAACTACCACATCCCACACATCAGTCATCGGTGTCCAGCACCTCAGCATTCCACCCAGGGCCGAGCTGCAGTTTAACCTCCTCAGTTAAACCTCCGGGTTTCAGAGGAGGCTTTAAGACAGAGAAATGGGAGGCCAGGGCCCTATTTTACAAAGGCAAACCCAATTTCTGGGGTTGTGTCTTTTTTCTCAGTAATATCATTCTCTGTGTGTGTGTGTGTGTGTGTGTGTGTGTGTGTCTGTCTGTCTGTCTCTCTGTCTCTGTCTCTCTCTCTCTCTCTCACACACACACACACACACACACACACATACACACACACACCTTCAGCTTAATCCAAAGACAAAAGGTAGAAAATTCTCTCTCTCTCTGAAGAGCCAGCTTACTCGACAAAAGGTGGGCTGTCCTGGGTGGGAAGCAGCTCCATCCTCTCTCCTTTGCCTCCTCCTACACACAGTTCCACCTGATCCGGCATCCTTGGCCAAAGGGAGGACAGAGCTCTTTCCCCTTTCCTCTGCCAGCCCCCACAGCCACATCTGGTAGGGCCCTGAATGCCAGGGTCTCCCTTGGTCCACACATTTCCCCCAGGCAGCTTTTACTCAGGCTTAAGTTCTATGGGATCTGAACCTTCCGGGTTTCTGGCCCTATTCAAACCACACATCTCCTGCCCACCCAGGTCTCAAAGGCTGTGGTCTGCCCTTTCCTTGCTGAAGATTGGATCTGGGCCCAGCAGGGCTCACCTCAGTTCCAAGGTTAGAGGAGACTCACCAGGGCCTCCTATCAGGAAAAGAGAAAGGCAAGAAGAGGAATACTGTCATCCCCTCCTCTAGACTTAGAGGAAGCATCTTTGTCTAACACCACACAAACAAACACACTCACACAAATATACATACACGAGCACACACACACACACACACACACACACACACACACACACACACACACACTGCCAGAAGCCAAGGAAGGACTCATAAGAAGACACTGGCTCAGGGAGTAGAGGGTCTGTTGTGAGGACCAGAAATCTCAGTGATTCAGCACTCTGCCCACTCCTGGCCCAGCCACGGGTCACACTGATGACCACTCCTGATGCTTGAGTGCTGACTTGGAAGCCGAGGGAGAATCCTTGCTAAGACTCGCAGTTCTCAGGCCCTCTGAGAACTCTCGGGTTCCTCAGCCCAGGCCTTTGCAACCCAGGACCCGGGACAATTCTCGGGAGTCTGTGGGCCATTCCCTTAGACTTGCCTCTTCCCCCAGCCTCATGCTCTCCCTGAGCCGGTCTAGGAAACAAACCTGAACAGTTTAAGAAGAGGAGAGGACCACACAGAGGCCTGTTAACCCAAGTATCTCTGTCTGCAAGCTATGAACAGGCTCAAACATGCAGCAGAGGGCTTTAAGGGGATGGCACACACAGCCGTGAACACCTGGCCTGCAGAGCCCTAGGCCTCTGTGGCAGAGCAGGACGATGCATGAGTGGGTAGGCTGAGTACAAGCCTAGTCAGCGCCGGGTCTACACCACCAGGAAGGGCAGGTGGAGAAGGTGATGGGGAGTAGGCCAGCTAGGAACCAAGGAGAGCAGAGAAGCTGCTCCAGGGGGAGTGTGCTGCACGAGGAAACAAGGGAGCCGCTGAGAACGGGTTGGGACAGGGCGTGCAGAGGGGAACCGTGAGGATAAACTGGAAGGGAGCTATTGGAGATCAGCACGACGCAAGGAGACTGGGTCAAGGGACAGAAAAGGATGAGGGAGGGCAAGCAGCGGGGGCACGGGTGGGGCAGGAAAACATCGATGGAATGGGAAACTGAAAAGTAAGGTGTGGAGGGAAGAAGCATGGGGGCTGGCGGGACTCAAAGGATGAGGCTGAGACAGAGAGGAAAGGGGGAGAGCGGGGAAGAGGGGTGGGATGTGGGATGTTGCCAGCCGAGTCTGAAAGGATGCCGGGGTGGAGAGGGATGAGAGCTGGGGAGATACCGCCAGAATCCGGTGGATTCCTGGCAGGTGACTGTGCAGAGGGAAAAAGGCACCGGGATGTGGATGGAGGGGGATGGGGCAGGTCGGAAGATGCAGATGGACAGAGGAGGGCGGAATCGAAGGGGTGCCGTTCCGTGGGCTTCCACGACCCTGTTCTGCTACCCTTCCGGGTACCCGCGCACACCTTACTTACCTCCAGGAGCTCCGGCTCCAGCCCTGGGCGCAGTCCCAGATGTCCGCCGCCGGCGCCGCCACTTCCCCCACGTCCCCTGCAGCGCCTCTCGCTGCCAGTCGCCGCATTAGGGCAGAGACTAGCCCGTGCGCGCCCCCGGGCGGCCGGCGCGTCCCCGACGGTCTGCGTGCGCGCCCCCGAGCCCCTCCCTGCGCGCGAGGACCTGTGACCAGGACCCAGTAGCATGGAAAGATGCTCAGGTGCCACCACCCGTCCAGCGCGCTAAGGAACAATTCGCAGAGCCAGACACTAGGAAACCTGTTTCCTCACTTGATCTTCCTTCCGGAGAGTGGCACTCAGTGTCGCAGGACCTGAAGCCAGAACTGTGGCGGGTCTGTCCTGTAAATGATCCCTTTATCTATGACTTCTTAGGGTCAGGAATTTGTCCACAGCTTTGGAGGGGCTAGCTCGGCAATGCTCATGATCTACCCTCCAAGACCATCAGTTGATGGAAGAATTGCCCATCTGAAGCTGACAAGGAAGAAAACTTTGAGAGGATTGCAGGCGGGTCTTGTTTTAAAACTGGAAGATTTGTTATGCCCAGGGGAGACTCGGGGTACTGTCCCAGATTTGTGTGTGAGTGGGAAAAGCCTTGAGCCTGGAGACCACACATCCAAGTGTTAGCTTTGCCTCATTGACGTGACTGAGCAGGTTCGAGTATGCAAAGCGGGCTGCATCTTTGTTGAGATCCCGCCTCCTTGGTGGGAAGAATCTATTAGGCTTCAGATAATGTGCACCGCCTCAAAACAGTAAGAAGGCCCAACCAGAATCTCTGCCTTGAAAGAGCCCTTCGTTCAGCTCCCCACCCTAAACTACAGCCCCCCTAGGCAGCAGGCCTGAGACTCCTTCTGTGCTCACGACGAGATACCACCTTCACTTGGACCTGACCCCACCTCCCTGCCATAGCCCCGCCCCCCACTGTGGGCTCAGGAAAAGACAGGATAGAGATCCTTCCTGTCCTACCCACTGACAAAATGCCCTCTCCAGCTAGGAGTTTCCAAACCCACAGTTGTAGATAGGGGGAAAGAAAACACCAGGGGAAGAGGGGCCGGCGACTCTGGAAGGTTGGAAGCAAGACTGCCCCTAGGTGTCAGTACCCTTTTCTTCAGGGCTCCCGTATACACTAACTGAAGTTTCTACCCCCACATAAGCCTCTCCGCTGATCAGATCAAATCAAACAGAATTAGAAAAAACCTACGTTTAATGGATACAGCACTCCCGGATAGCCCAGGAAGGAGATGGGAAAGGAAGACTGGAAAAACCAGAGTCTGTTTTCTGGAGAAGTTTAAATACCCTGTGGGAGTGGTCTTGAGTATCTCTGGGGAAGGAGCCATCATTTGGGGGTCTTTCTGAGATGCAGCAGGGTTTGGAGAGAGATGGGAAGCAGGGCTTGGGTGAAACTTAGGCCAGAACATTCCAGACTCTTTGGAATATAAGGGACAAAGCTCCTATCATAATACTAACCATTAAGCGTCTCAAAGTCAACATTTTGGCATCACCCTGGTATCAGTGAGACTCTACCCCACCAGAGCCAGGCATCACCAAGGAGCTAGAGGGACAGTGCAGTCAGAGTATGGAAAACTGTAAGCAGTGGGGGGGACCTCAGAAACTGCGGCTGCTGCTCCTGGCCCCTGGTAAGTCCCAGACCCCTGATGGACTCTCAAAAGACTTGGAGGAACACACTTAAAACACTCAGTTACCTCAGGTCTGTGCAGGGAAGGGCTCCCTGACTCCACTTTACTACTATGTCCAGTGGTGGCTGGCCCATGAAATAAAGAATTCTTGCATCCTAATGGCCCAGTTCTGGAACTGGATCTTACTGTGTAGATCCCTACAATGGCTGGGCAGCTTTCTTTTGGTGGTAATGCATAGTGGCTATGGTGTCTACTCTTGAGGCATCTGCTGGACTCCAAATGTCATCTTCACCATATCAGACCTGGAAAATGAGTACTTTACTTGTTCTCTTTTTATTGTTTTTTTTTAGATTTTATTTATTTATTTCATGTATGTGGGTGTTTTATCTGCATGTATGTCTGTGCACCTGGTGAGTGCAGCGCCCAAGGAGGCCAGAACAGTGCCTCTCTTCTCTACAAGCAACCCTCTTCCACAGACTTCCAAGGAGGAGCAGGGTCATAGGCAGATTTATCCATTACTGGGAGAATTAATTTGGTATGGATTCTTGGTATGAGACTCTAAATGTCCCTGCCATCCGTGCCACTTTTAAGAATCTGACTGGAAAGATGGCTCCGAAGTTAAGAGCACTTACTGCTCTTGCAGAGAACCAGAGTTCAGACTATGTCAGAAGTCTCACAACCACCAAAAACTTCAACCCCAAGGCACGTGACACCTCTGGCATCTGTGGGAAGTTGCCCATACACACCTACACACACACACACACACACACACACACACACACACTTACTTCAAAACAAAACTTTTACCTCATTTAGAATTCATTTATTGGGGGTTATTTTAAAATGATATGGTTCTAGGTATCCATCTTAGATTATAGGTGATGTAGTGTTTGATCAAGAACTAGCCCATCACCAGACACAGGGAGACCTTCACTCTTACAGGCCCTGTGTGAACAGTTGTGAAGGCTGCACACTGTAAAACTCCAAGTGATGCTTGCCATAGTGCAGTCCAGTGCTTCCTGTGGTATTCTTCAGTCTGGGTTGCCCACTATAATAACCAACAGTCAGTTGTGTCTTTAATGCACACTTGTAGGGTGGCAGCAGTGACTGGTGAATTGAGTTTTTAATTTTAGTGTACATTTAGGCTGTGATCACCCATATTTCAGCAGCTTTGGTCTCATCCATGGCTCCATTCATCACCCTGCTGAACTAATGGAGCTTCCACTGGGATCAGGGTGCTGAGCTCGGCTCTGCGGATACAGACGGGGATTCAGCCCCCACTCCCTACCGGAAACTCACAATCTAGACACCCACTATGCTAAATGCTAGGGGGAGGGTACTAGCTGTGTTCCCTTTCGTCCAGGCATGGAAAAGAGTGGAGCTTGCAGAGCAAGAGACTTTCACTAAGAGATGTTTGGGCTGTGTCTTTAAATAGGATGAAGCCATAAAGATAAAGTGGGCAAGCGATTCCAGAGGCTTTCCTGGCTTTACCACTTGGTTTTGACGCAATAGCTTTTTTTTGTGGTTGGCAATGCACAATGGTGTGAAGTTCACCAGTGTGGCTGAATACCAGACAGTTTGAGCAGGAGAACCTCTCCCTGTCCTTTGAGCCAGCGCCCTACTCTAGAACTCAGGCTGACCTCAAAGCTGCCACCTTCCTGCTTCAGCCCTCCTAGCCCCTGTGTGAGGTCTACAGGTGAGCCACATGTCCGGCAAAGGGAAAGCCTGTTCAATAGGGATTAACACCAGGAATCCCAGCGAGGCAGAGCCCTGGCTCAGCCTCTGTCCGGGGTGGGATGCGTGAGGCAAACTGCCGAAATATCCACGCTCCAAAGCCTCCAGAAAGCCAGGCTCTGTATACCTACAGAGTGTAAGCCAGGCTTCTCTTGCTGGGAGGTCACTAAAGGCCACTGTTGACAGAGGTGTGCGTGTCTTTCACTGTGCAGAGAAAGTCCCTCACAGCCCATGCCCTTACACATTACAGTTGTGGGGACGGCTCTTCACAGTGCCGCGATATCCTGTCAGAGGTTCAGGGCAGTTCTTCACGGTGCCTCTTGCTAGGAACAGGGAGGGGCACAGGCCAGAGTCAGGACAAGGAAGGCTGTTCCGAGTCCCCCTGTCACGTTCCCTGCTTTCTCTTCCCCTCCTCCCTCTTTCCTTCTCTTCATCCCTGTTCTCTGACTCTCATCCTCTCCCCCCATGCCCCTCCCTTTCCTTCCCTCTTCCTTTCCTTCCTTCTTCACTGCCAGGCCCCACCAGGAATGACGTTTCACCTACTCCGCAAGCCTGAAGAGGACTCTGCCTCTGGAAGGCTGAGGCATATGCTTGGGGAGTGACTCATGAGCTCAGCAACACGGTTGCCCTTGCAGTGGTAGGCATATCCCCAGGCATACCTTGTTGGCTTTTTGTCTCTTTTTGTTGTTTTTAATGTCCAAGCAGGAGATAGGGAAGCAGGCTCGCACACATGAATGAGCACAGGTACCCTTGGAGTTTAGAGGAGGGTGTTAGAGCTAGAGGTAAAGGCAGCTATGAGCCACCCATGTAGGAGCTGGAAACTGACCTTGGGTCCCCTGCAAGAGCAGTGTGCGCTCTTAGCCGCTGAGCCATCTCTCCAGAAGTAAACAGATTTTGATTAGGTATCACCAACTAGACAAACCAGAGGAAGGAAATAGAGAGATTTGGCCGCCCTCATCACCTGACAACCAGTGTCCATTTCTCTTGCATGTGAGGCATGCATTGCCTTGCTGGAATTATTTCCTGAAGAGACAAACACAGTAGGCAGAACAACCTGCTGCTAGGGATGGAAGCACAGCAGAACAAAGTGCCCGTGTTCACCGAGCAGTCATCACATGCTGGACACAGCAGCTGACAATTTTCCAGAACGGCGACCTTGACAAGCCCCTGGCCTGTGGCTTTCCAGGAACCACAGAAATGTGATGTGTCCCCTACACACACACACACACACACACACACACACACACACACACACACACACACGCACGCACGCACGCACGCACACACGCACGCACGCATGCACACGCATCTCAGTGTCAAGGTCCCTCCTGCTCTGGGCCAGACCCCACAAGCTGGGGCAAGGAGAGCCTCCTTTCACTTGTGGTGCTAGGCTGTGGCCTCCAGTCCCCTCTGCTAATACACTCTGCTCCCACCCTGTTCCTGCCGGCTCTGGGGATTGGAAGAGTGGGACCAGGAGCTAAGAGGAACAGCTAAACTGACCTGTGAACCAGTTTATAATTAGTGCTGATTTAGTAACACAGAACCCCTGGGGTTGGGGGTGGGGTGGCAGGAGAAGATGCCTGTTTGAAATACTGGATTTCAGGTATGCTAGCCAAACGCCTGAGCTCAGTGGCCCGAGCAGTTAGGTGACCTCTCCTTTCCCGTGGAGCCCCCCAGAGAAGCTCCACCCAGCAGGTGGGATGAACGTGTTTC